GTGTCTCCCATGGGCAGATCTTCTCAGTGCCTTCTGTTCTCTGAGGGAATCTGGGGGAAATGTTTGGGCTTTCAGTTTGTTTCATTTCTTTCCTTTCTTCTGAAGATGGAAGCAGCCAATGGCTTCCTGATAGTTCACTGTTTTCTTGGTGGCTTTTTGTCAGTCAGAATTCTACATGGGTTCGTAATAAGACTGTCTCCCTGCTATGTCATTCGGCTTTTGAAAGACGTTTTTGCTTTTGTCTGACACAAGTTATACAGACCCAGACATGGAGTAGGAAAAATAAGAGATAGTGGAAATTTTCAAAGGGTCAGAATTTTATACAGTCTCTAGAGTGCTGATAGTTTGGTTTGTGACTTTGACGTTCCTCTTAGAGTTTTTTGTTTGTTTGCTACTTTTTCTTTTTCTTCGTTATTGCCATTATTTTGTGATACATGTCTGAATATGTAACCAAGGATAGCCTCAAATTCATGACCCTTTTGCCTCAATCTTCCACAGAAATTTCTGGAATCTGTATCAACCTTTCTTGCAGCTAATCTTCCTGTCTGGGGGCTACCCCTGTTTATATTCCACTGAGCATATTTTTATGTAATCCTCATCAGTTGCTTCCTGTGTGCTTCCCTGTCTTGTTTTGACTTTGTAAACAATCTGATGCTCAGGGATCAGCTGTGACTTTGAAGGTTTTCTAGACCCAGTGCAAATCTGTGAACTGGATTCTTTCCTTTGTGGTTTGCTATCCCAGGGTTGTATATATAACAACTTGAGCTTACTTGCACATGAGCTCGGTTACCCTGTGATCTTGGCTCTCACCGCCACAGGTAACTCCCAGGAAGAGACTCCTGAAGCTGACATCTAGGAATTTCCCCAACCCCACTTTGCTCTTTGAGAAAACAACCTGTAGATGCTCACTGTGGGCTGTGGAGGGAAGCATGAGGAGGCAAAACTGATCCCCGGCCTCAAATCACTGCTTCATTGCACTCTTCTGATCTTTTAATTGTGTGCTGCTAAAACTCAGGGAGAAAGGATGAAGAGTTTGGTAGTTATTGATTAGGATTGCTGTGGTCACCATCTGTGTCTATGAAAATGATAATTCGGTGGTTTAGGAGTTTGGCTGACCAGGATCGTGACCTAACCTGAGTCCATCTTGTAGTCTGTCATTCATTGGGTGACCTTGGGCAAACTACCTTTCTGTGTTTGTTTCTTTACCCTTAAATTGACATTGATAGCATCTACCTCAGGATGGTTGAGAGTACCTGAAAGAACTGATGTTCCTGAAGTTCTTTAACCCAGTGCTAAGAACAGTGTATTCAGTAGACAGGGCATCTGGGGAGAGACAGAAGTGGGTGGAAGAGAAGGAGAGAGCACACATGTACCAACTTCTGCTTCGGGAGTGGAACGATCCTCCCCTCTGCACTATGTGCAAGGCTGTATTTCCAGAAGAGTCTTTGGGGCTTCAAATGTAACGGTTTCTAAGAGTTGAAAGCAAAGACTTCGGCTCATACATGAGGAAGGAGTAATGTATTGTGTTATCACAGGCTGGGCGTGACAGCATGTATCTATAACCCTAACTCTGGGGTGACAGAGCCTGGAAGAGTTGGAGCCAGTTTGACTATATAATGAGTTCAAGGCCAGCTTAAGCTACTCAGTCATACCCCATCTGAAGAAGAAAAATCATCAATGCTATGTCCATGATAAATTCCTGGGCCATGCTGAGTAATAATGCCATGGTTATAATATATGTAATTATTGTTATGCTATATTATATACATGTACACACACATATATGTATATATATGTAATTGGTAAAAAATATAAATGAATGTTTGTTTGTAGGCTAAGACTGCTCCTTTCCAGACTGCTCAGACCCGAATAATCACACAGAAATATTCTTAAAATATTTTAAATGTCATATTCTGTAAGTCTTTGAAGTGTTGAAGATTATTTATCTAACTGAAATATATCTCTTTATATCTAAGAAACCTAATAAACATAACTACAGTTTGATTATTATAGATGACTATCTATTAATCTGCATTTCTTAACTATACGTTACATTTTTAAATGAGCTGCACAGTCACAATACCTGAAACAAGAGTAGAAATACAGATATACAGAGTAACAAAATCAACTTTAAATTTGTATCAATAGACCAAGATCCATATCAATGCTAAGTATTCATCTCTATATTATATCCCCCTTTAATTGAAAGCAAATATTTATAGATAAACATTTTGGAAATTTGGGCATAGTTTTCTCCAAGCTTTTTCCTGCTGTTTGTTGGGCAAAGTGTTTTTAGGGTTAGGGTTCATGGAGACTTAAGATTAAGTGGGACTTGTTACATCAAACCATATCAGCCAGGAAGAAATCCACAGGTTCCCATCCTCTGTGAAAACAAAAGCAGAACCTTTTTTCCAAAGCAACATATCCTTAGACACAAATTTTGAAGTCAAGATACCTTTATGTTGGTTTAGCTTAGCAGTTCCCAGAATCAAATGTCTCTCTGCAGTCAAAATATTCAAAGAAAATACAATAATATACATAATCCAGACTCTTTGTGTATGTTTCATCTTTTTGTGGCTTCTTTTTCTTTACTTCTTTAATCTTTGTCTGTACTCCTTTATATTACTTTTACTGTCTCTTTAAAGACCTTATTTTTTTAAACCTATTTCTTTTTATAACTGTCTATACTTTTTTACTCTCTCTCTCAAGCCTACATACATTTTTTAAACACACTGTGATCCATTCAGAGGTTTATTTTTGTATGAATCTCTCTTTAATGTGTATCTGTAATCATTTTCTGACAAGAAACACTTTTAAAATGGTAAGTGGCTTGGTCACAGCAGCCCTAGATGTTGGCTCCACCTCTCTTGGTCTTTCAATATGGTGGAGGTATGTTTGCCACCAGCTCTGGGACTACTGGGTGGGAGCCGTGCTCACATCTCAACTCTGGGAAGCACCATGCAGCACATAAACCCTTTTTGTCTGAGTAAAAGCTAAATCTGGAAATGCCTCTGTGTATGATGATGGGAATCCACCATGCTTTCCTGTCTGTGCATGCCTAGCAGGCCTAATCCAACTGCTTGCCCAAGCAGGGTTGCTGAGTAGCAGGCTTGTTCTCAGGTACTTTCCTCCTCATCCTGAGTAGGCATCCAAGCACTTGGACCTGAGTATATGGCTGGACATGTGGGTTAGCCCCAAACATATCGACACCATTCTGTAGGCTGGCAACAAGGATGGGATTAATTGGTAGTCATCTACAATAGTTAAACTGTAGTCATGTTAGTTAGGTTTCCTAGATATACAGAGATATATCTCAGATGGATAATCTTCGGCACTTCAAAGACTTGCAGAATATGACATTTAAAATGTTTTAAGAACTTAGATTTTTCTTGATAGTGAGACATGTCTGTTTCTGACAACACCAATTACTTCAGAGAGGTTGATGGGCATTGAAGAAACATGTTATGAATTTGCCTTCAATGTGGCAAGACTAGCCATTTGGGCAAGAAACTGCTCTTGCCTGGACTGCCTTATGGTATGCTATATAAATTAGACATGCAGGACCCACAGAAAACTGACTGCTCAACTTTCCAAAAGACAGAACAGTACTTCAGGGTTCCTGATTCACAGAAACTGCCAGATATTCTACAAGACACAGCAGAAAGCCATTGATGAACTTTGCCATCACAGGGCAGAACAGATCTTCCAATTTCCTGCTTCACGAAAAAGTCTGCTGGATATTATGGGCCTGTAAGCTGAAGATGGATGCCCCAACATTACAGAAGAACTTTGGGTGACTGTCCAGGCAGCAGGATGTCTCTGTCAATTCTAGAACTTTGGAAGTTGCTTACAATGCACTTCCTGTTTACTTAGATAATAACATATCCTTTTAGAGTCTTTGAAGAGTTGAAGACAGAGAGCTATAGCTATAGTTTTCCTTAGTTGTGATAAATTAGATATGAAACTTTCCAAATACAAATAGACTAAATATTGTAACTATAATTCTTGCTTGATAACTGTTTTTATATGTATTTTTACTATATTAAAGTTAAAACCTTCCTTTTTATTTAGACAGAAAAGGGGAGATGATGTTGGATATCCTTCTGTATATGTGTTACTTTTATTGATTGATGCATGAAGTTGTTTCAGTCAATGACTTAGCAGAGCAAAACCAGGCAGAAAGTCTGAACAGGATATATATATATATATATATATATATATATATATATATAGAGAGAGAGAGAGAGAGAGAGAGAGAGAGAGAGAGAATAAGCAGAGTCAGAGAGACACCTTGCAGTTGCAAAAGGAGAAAGATATCAGCCAGAACCTTACCTGGTAAGCCACAGCCTCATGGCAATAGACACATTAATTGAAATGGGTTAATTCAAGGTGTAAGAGCTAGCTAGAAATATGCAAGAGTCATTGACCAAACAGTGTTGTAATTACATAGTTTCAGTGTGATTATTCAGGTCTGAGCCTTTGGGGAAGCGAAAGAGCAGCCTCAGCAAACATTTGTTTTTATCTTTTCTGCAAGTTTAATATCTAATGAAAAAAAAAGAGAGAGCTTGATGCATGCCTTAATCCCAGAGGCAACCTGATTGATCTCTGTGAGTTTGAGGACAGACTGGTTTACATAGCAATTTCCAAGACAGTCAGAGCTGCATAACAGAGAGATCCTGACTCAAAAAACAAGACAAAACAAGACAAAATAGAAAACTCTAAAAACAAACAAAAAAAGAATACAAAAAAGTTTGAGGAGATGGCTCAGAAGCCGGATGTACTTTCTCCTGAGGCTGACGACCTGAGGGTGATCCCCAGAGTCCCCATTGTGACAGGAGAGAACTTTACTCCTCCTCAGGTTGTTCTCTGACTTCCACACCCAGTCCATGGCATACCACCCCCGCATGGCACACACTGCTTTAGTTAGGGTTATTGCTGTAAAGAGACACCATAACCACGGCAACTCTTATAAGGAAAACATTTAATTGGGGTTGACTTACAGTTTCAGAGGTTCAGTCCATTAACATCATGGCAGGGACTAGAGTCGCATGCAGGCAGCTGGGGTGCTGGAGCTGAGAGTCCTACATCTTGCAGGCAACAGGAAGTTTACTGACACACTGGGTGGCATCCTGAGTATAGGAAACCTTGAAACCCTCCCCCATAGTGACACTCTTCCTCCAATTAGGTCATACCCACTCCAACAAAGCCACATCTCCTAATAGGACCACTTCCTATGAGATTATGGGGGCCAGTTACATTTAAACTACCACACACACATGCCAAATGAAAAATAAATTTAAAAGAATAAAAACTTGGGAATGAAGCCTTACTTTCAGTTGAATGCTAGCAAAATAGTTGTCACTGGCCTTCCCCTGGGGCTTTCTCCCTGCCTTTTAGAGAATTGGCAAGCCTCTAGTTTAAAGATGCCACTATAATCTTTCTTGCCATACTTTCTGTAGGACTCTACATTATGGATATCTGGTCTACCATGGGGATGGGTAATGTTCTCTATACTTGAACTGTACTTGATTTTACTTTGTAGTTGGAAGAACATCCCACTGAGTCAGCATTTCATAGATTCTGACACTGCCAACATGCCACAATCTCACACCTGAAATTTCTCAGGTGTAGAACAGACTGAAAAGAATGTGGATCAAGAAAGAGCCTGTGTTTAGGTTGTTGGAATTTCACATATGTACTGAACACGGAATTTGTGTGAAAGTCTCTTTTTCTCTTTTCTAAGAACATCTGATTAACTGTCGCACCTACTCATAACGAGGCTATAAAGTGGTTGTCACATCAAGGAACCACAGAAAGCAGGAAGTCGAGACCTATCTACTGAGGCATGTCTGAGGAAATAACCCCAAATCACTAAGAGGACAGAGTGTTTGTGTTACCTCCCATGATCCCAAGGGTGTGTTGGGAAGAATCCCTTGCCACTCAAAGTACACAGAGATGACCATTTTCTGGAAGGTGAAGTGAGGCAGGTTATCTGCTCTTGATGACGGGAGAAACGACTGTAACATAATAAAGGGATACCGATATTAGGAGAAATTTATAGATGAATCTGTCTCTAATGGCAGCTGCAACAAGAGGCATTTGACCAGGCCTAGTGGGTGGCACATGGCACCTAGTGGGTTGAAGCAGGAGAGATCACAAGTTAAAGGCTAAACTGGCTGTACCTGTTTACCCTGGAGTGAGCTCCAGGGTAGCGTGGGATGTATAGCAAGACGCATCTAAGAAAAACAAACAAGCAAAACAAGACAGCAAATTTTTAGAAGTGGCCGTGCTTCTTCTCACCTGCTGATTCAAATTGTTTGGCGGGGATTGCTTAAAAGATGGTGTGAGAAGGCTCTTCTGGCCATTTCACAGTCATGGCAAAAGTATGCAGGAATTGAAATTTTTTTTTTGAAAGAGTGGTGTGCTATACATGCAATATTTTCCAAGTCTGAAGTTTCAAAACAAAGTATTTTTGGGAACTTGAAAAGCACTAAGGCCTTTTGAAAAACATCTGTCAAGGTAGGTCTGTGAGGGTTCCCTAGAGGAACAGAACTGATAGAATGAACACATAGAGTTTGTTAAGTCAGCTTATATTGAAATAGTAACAAGAACTGCCCTACACCCAAGAGGCTGACAACCCTGTGATTGCTGGGTTGTTGAGGCTGGGCATTTTAGCAATTGCAATCTGGCATTGAAAACCTGGAGGGTTTCTGGAGAATTCTTAGTCCATGACAGAGGTTTAGAAACGCTGGTTCTGATTTCAGAGAAGTTATGTTGGCAAGAAGGAAGGCCAAGGGAACAAAGGCATTTATAATCTGCCCTCTGTCTTGCCCTTTTGAAATCTGAGCTGCTATCAGAAGGTGCTCCCCCACTTTCCCCCACATCTGGAGTGGGTCTTTGAACATCAGTGGAAGTGATCAGGACTGTTCTTGGGGTAATTCGAACCTGCGGCACGCTGACATCGGAACCAGTCAGTGAATATTTACTAAGTGCTTCTGAATTGTAGACAGTGTTCTGTGTACATTTTATATATTGATTCATTGAATCCTCCCAGCAGTCCCATGTTGCAAAGGTTGCTACTGTTATCTCCACGTTCTAAAAAAGGAAGGGGGGTCACTTCCTGCAGGTGTATGCTCACTTTCAGCATTTGGTTGGTTCTGGCTATTTTACTTCGGATCTCACCCTGTTGCTCTCAGGCCTCTTTTCTTGGTTTATTATTTTTATTTTGTCCTGGGCACCTGTCACCAGCTGCCCTTCTATGACAGAAGTGGTTCCCCCAGCCCCCACCACAGTGGGTATTTGCAACCATCTGAAAATTTCTGCTTCTCAGAAAGGAACCTAGAGCCAGCAGGAACCAGGGCTGGCCTCAGCTAAAACTCTGGGGTTCGAGAATTTTTGACCTAGGAGCTAATACTATGGGGGATGTTGTCAGGACACACGAACTCCTGTGAGGCTTCTGCCAGTGACTTGGAGAGGAGGGAACTAGGGCTAAGCAGAGCACCAAGAGGGAATGTATCCTGAGATTGTTCACTGAACACTCGCAGACAGTATTATTTCAGACAATAAAGTGGCTCCACAGTTGGAACAAAGGCTTGGATCCATTGTCGAAGTTAGAGTACTGTTAATTAGTCAGTAACCCATTAGTTAGTATTACTGTTGCTGTGATAACACACCATGACCAAAAGTAGGCTACACCCTGGTAGGGTTAAGGCTAGCAGACCTGTTCCAAAGATGCTTGCAGGTTGCCAGAAGCAGGGACATTTTTGACTGCCTAAAGCACTGTTCAGGAGGGTTTCTGAGGCACGTCAGGCTTGGGCTGTATAACGGAGTCTGAAACACTTGAGTCATGGAACTTGCTCCACAGCCTTCTGGTTATGATTTGGCCTCCTGGGCAGCTTGGCTTGTGTTGAGACTTCTGTCTTGGCTTCTGCCGATCAGAAGCCAGTGGTTGGCAGCTTTGGAAGCTGAGGTTCTCATAATGAGCTCAGCTAACATGACTTGCTCCCCCAGGCCTGTGTATCATGCCCGTGAGCCTCCAGGGCTGATGACTCTCCTTGGGATTCCCCTGGGGGAGGAAGTTTCTGACGCCCCTGGGAGACAAGCAATCTCTCTTCCTGGTCTTGTGCAGACTCAAACTCAAGGTCTTTAACCAAGCTCCTGCTGGGGGTTGCTTACAGCCACCCTGTCTCTTAATGCCTTACCATCTGCTGCAGCCCTGGGTTCTCTTCTGATGGTCAATCGGAAGCTGTCTGAATTTCCTGCCGTCTATAACAGATCTCTGTCCTCTTGTTGCTGTTGGTTTTCGAGACAGGATTTCTCTGGCTGTCCTGGAACTTGCTTTGAGGACCCGGCTGGCCTTGAATTCACAGACATCCTACTACTGCTTTTGCCTCCCGAGTGCTGGGGTTAAGGTGTATGCCCCCACTGCCTGTCTGATCACTGCATTTTTTAAACTAAAAGTTGTACGAACTGGGGCCTGGGCCACAACTCAGAGCCTTCCACTGCTCTGAAGGAGGTAAATGGGCGGAGAGCGTGGGCTGAGAAGGTGGTGAGTCAGAGGAACTAGCCGTGTCAGAGGCTGGGGACAGGCCTGAGGATGTTCCCATGGAAGAGGCCAGGGGCCGTTTGGGCAGTGGGGATGCCTGACTGATAACCCACAGCACATACTTCTGCAGTGTGCACTCTCTGTCTCTCTCCAGCCCCTAGACTTCAGAAATGCCTATGATGTTTGTGACTGCCAGTGGACTGTAGACTTGGTGGGACTCTAAGAAGGGACAGAAGGATGGCAGGGGCATGGGGAAAGCAGAGGGCTGAACTCAAAGAAGGCTGTGGAGGGGTCAGTAGCCCAACTCTGGAGACTTTCAGAACCTTCCCCAGGTCATGGGACAGTTCTCTATAGACCATTAAATGCTTAGTGTGTCAGAACCCCAGCTGGCTTCACATGTCTAGACCACTTTGCACCTGTGTGTGTTTGAGAGTATACACACACACATGCTCATGTATGTTGTATGTGGAAGCCAGAAATTGTTGGTTATCTTCCTCAATTGCTCAACACTGTTTTTTGAGACTAAACTCTCACTAAACCGAGAGCTGTGCTGGCCGGCAAACTCTAGGAATCCTCCTGTCTCTGTCTCCCTAGGACTGGGAATACAGACCCTGCTCTGCCATACTCATTTGGGGATCTGAACGCAGGTCCTTGTATTTGTACATGAACTTTAAAGGCTGAGCCGTCTAGGCAGTCTCTAGGCTGCACCTTTAAGGATCTGTATATTATTACTGAAGGCTTGGAGAAGGCCTTTTCCATGTGATGATCACCAAGTGTGCAGCTCTGGGCACCATAGCTGGTCTCACCACAGGCCTTTGATTCCCGATGGGCCACGGCCTGCTGTCTGCATCCACAAGCCTCAATGAGAGTTCCCCTCCTTGAGGTCCAGGGACCGAGTTTGTCCTCCAACACAATCTTCTCTGGGCCCGATGAAAGGGAGGGGAGTTACCATATTTTCACGTTTAAGTTCTGACTGGTACTGAGCAAGCATGCTCCTCTGTACCAAGGCCTAGGCTGTTTTGAAGGCTCTCGGTACAGGTTGTCAGATCGCCTTCTGGAAGCCACCCACAGCTGAAAGCTGGCAGGCACCCACTTGATAAATCTCTGCCAACTTGTTATGAAAAAGAAGTTTCGTTTCGTTTTTACTTCTTTGATTACGTGTGAGGTGTGTTTAAAAAAATATCCGTGTTACTTATTTTTGAATGGAGTTAGTAATCATGAAAATGATTTCAAATGTCATCCAATTTCTGTTTAGCTGTAAGAAAACAAATCGGTTCAGAGAAAGAAGGGAATGTCTTGTTATCTGTGTGGCTTTTGTTATGAGAGTAGGAAGACCAAAAGGGGAACGAAAAGGAAAACAAGCAAATAGCTGGCAAGTGGGGAGCGAGATGGGAGAGAAACCCCAGCAAGGATGAAAGAGCACAGTGTGGAGCTGTTGTGCACCGTCTCTGGGACCCCAGCAAGCACCCAGCATTTGAGAAGCGGTGATGGAGAAAGAGAGACCGGGCGGACGTTCTTCTCCATCTTCCAGAAAAGAAACCCTTGTGGTACGTAAGGTGTCAGGTGTCATTGACACAGTGATTCCCCTTAAGGAATTAAAAACTTCAAGGTTTAAAAACAATAATCCCAGAGGGAAGTAAAATGATTTATAATAATGGTTACTAATTACCTGGATACCTGGTGGAAGGATATATAAATATATATATATATTCTTAAGTGAAAATCGCCAGTTATAAGGTTGGATCCTTACGTACCTGCCAACTTCTCTTTGCATTCTTAAAGACTAAATCCAAAGGCAGAGAGGGAAAGTGGACTCTATTTGATATGTGGAGTCAGAAATTATCGGAGATTGTTTTCTCGTCTTTGGGGCTTATGTCGGTGCTTTTTTTCCCTTCCTCCTCCTCGTTGGTGTTTTGAAACAGTCTTACGTAGCCCCAGGCTGGCCTTAACACTACTGATCCTCCTGCCTCTACTTTCCAAGTGCTTGGATTACAGACATGTCTGTTGTATCTAGATAATTTTTTAAAAATGATTTTGCAATAATTAAAAGCATTATGAAAGGTGGTCTAGTCTGTCTTGTTTCTCTTGGGCAGTGTGGTTAGAGAGCAGGGGAAAGTTACCTAGAGGCCTGGAGTAGGAGTCAGGGATGGGCAGGTTGATGTCCAGATCTCTGTGCGGTTCCCTGTATTCCCTGGTGATAGGGCCAACATCTGATGAACCACAGATACAAAGGCCAGCAGGGAGATGATGGAAGACCCTGGTGGGGAAGAGAAGATAGTGAGGGCGCTGATGGGTGTTGGCACAGAGGGAGGCTGGGTTGTAGATGCCATGCCTCCTGTGCCTATTGGGTGGAATGCAGAGAATTCTTGCCTAGGCCAGCTAAGGGCTGCAAACTTTGCATGTAGCTTTTCCACACTTCTTTAGAAAAGACTTGGGGATGAGAAGTTAAATCTGAAGACAGCAGCACTTGGAGCATGAGACTCAGCTTTACTGGGCAAGGCGCAGGGTGTATGAAATGGGTTTATTCCCCGTCCAGCTAAAAACACAACCAAATCCCTTATTACACTTGCAACTTGGATACAGTCTTCTCGATTGCCAGTGTGTGCTGCTCTTTAGTTACATTCTTGTCCTTGGCATGGGAGCACCCGGTTGGCTGGCTTCCGTTCCAGAGTAGCTGAAGAGCTCCGAGGTTTGCTGCCTCAGCGCATCTTATGGCGTCCTGCTTTTGTCTCGCCTCTGCCAAGGTCATCTGCTGTCACTGATATCGGTAATGACACCGCCATTTCCTACACGTTCCTAGAACAACAGGAACCCACCTCAATAAAATAGGCCCACACCACAAAATAACCATGGTTCAGGCCAAGAGGAAGTGGCCAGAAAATTGAAGGCTTGGCCAGGTATGTGTTCTGCTTGGCAGCAGGTGAAGAGGTGGCAGCGCCAGCTAAGGGTCCCTGGGATTGGATGTGGAAAGATGGCGAGTGAACTTTGAGCCGCACTCAGTTCAAGTGGGAAAATCTGGGGCAGGGTTGGCGGGGAGGGGGACCCAGGTTCAGCACAAACATGTGAATATTCCCATCTACTTTGGGGTTTGCCAACAGGATACTATCAAGATTTTTCTCTCGCTTTGGAGGAGTGTCCCAAAGAGTCCTAGGAGGGTCCCAAGGAATCACAATGTGTGTCTCTGCTGGCTCTGTCCCACAGCCTCCCAAGTCCCAAGGATTTGGTAGACCAGTCTTTCTTGCTGCCATTTTAATCCCAACTTGGCTTGGTCTAGGTGGAAGCTGCCATGGGAACTTGCCTGCCCTGTTGCAGAACCCCCTTCTTCCGTACACTTGGCTCAGCCTCCACAACCATCAGCTTTTGGCAGCCTTATTTCATTAGTCTCCACCGTACACCCACTCATTCATCCCTGCAGCATCTCAGCCTAGCAAGCAGGCCTACTGTCGTCTCCACCCTGAGCCAGACGTGCTGTGTTTTTATAGTGCATGACAGTGTTTTGATACACGGATACATCGTGAAATGATCAAATCCAGCTAACATTTCCATCAACTCATAGGCTTATTGTTTTTCCTTTTGAAAACATTTGCTATCCTCTCTTAGCAGTGGTCAGATCCATAAGTTTATTGGTAACAACTCTCACCATGCAGTTGAATAGATCTCTAGAACTTTCTATTCTTATATGAAGCTTTTTACATTTTGAACAACATGGTCCATTTCTCTCTCCCCCCCTCCTCCCCCATTTCTTTTCTTTTCACTGCATTGGTTTTTCTAAGAAATGAAGTCATTCATCTCTGGGTCTCTACTTGATTTTTGAGGTTTTTTGTTGTTGTTTGTTTGTTTGTTTTCATTCAAGACAAGGGCTTGCTTTGTAGCCCAGGCTGACCCAAAAATCTTTATCCCTTCCTGTCTCAGCCTACTATGTCCTAAGGTTTTAGGCATGTGCCACCTGTCTGTATGGAGAGTCCATACATTTGACAGGGGGTTTCAAGATAGGATTTCTCGGTGTAACAGCTCTCGCTGTCCTGGAACTCATTTTGTAGACCAGGCTGGCCTTGAACTCAGAGGTCTGCCTACCTCTGCCTCCTGAACACTTGGGACTAAAGGTGCATGGTTTAAGGCAGGGTGGAAAAGTCTATTGCTTTATTTTTTTCAATTTGAAGATTTTTTTATTCTTTGCAAAGTTAAATTTATTTATTCCAATTATTTTCTATTGTTTTTCTTGAGCTATACATTTTTCTCCACTCCCCTCCCTTTCTCCCCTCTCTCCATCTACCCTCTCCCATGATCCCCATGCTCTAAGTCTGCTCAGGAGATCTTGTTTTTTTTTACTTTCTATGTACATTAGATCTATGTATGTCTTTCTTAGGATCCTCGTTGTTGTCTAGTTTCTCTGGGGTTGTAGGCTGGTTTTTCTTTGCTTTATGACTAAAAACCACTTAAAAGTGGGTATATCTTATATCTGTATTTCTGGGTCTGGGTTACCTCACTCAATATATTGTTTTCTAGATCCATCCATTTGCCAGCAAATTTCAAGATGTCATTATTTTTTTCCACTCTGTAGTACTCCATTGTGTAAATGTACCACACCTTCTTTATCTATTCTTCTGTCGAGGAACATTTAGGTTGTTTCCAGATTCTAGCTATGACAAATAATGCTGCTATGAACATAGTTGAGCACATGTCCTTGTGGTATGACTGAGTATCCTTTGGGTATATACCTAAAAGTGGTATTGTTGGGTCTTGAGGTAGGTTGTTTCCAGATTTTCTGAGAAATCACCATACTGATTTCCAAAGTGAATGTACCAGTCTGCACTCCCACCAGCAATGCAGAAGTGTTCCCTTTACCCCACATCCTATCCAGCATAAGCTATCATCAATATTTTTGATCTTTGCCATTCTTACAGGTACAAGATGGAATCTCAGAGTTGTTTTGATTTGCATTTCTCTGATGGCTAAGGATGTTGAGCACTTCCTTAAGAACATTACAACTATTTTAAATTCCTTTGTTAAGAGTGTTAAAAGTTCATTGCTTAGGTCTGTACTCCATTTTTTAAAATTGGATTATTTGTTCTTTTGATGACCAATTTCTTGAGTTCTTTGTATATTTTGGAGATCAGTCCTCTGTCCAATATGGGGTTGGTAGAGATCTTTTCCCATTCTGTAGGCCGCCGTTTTGTCTTGTTGACCATGTTCTTTGCTTTACAGAAGTTTCTCAGTTTCAGGAGATTCCATTTATTAATTGCTTCTCTCAGTGTCTGTGCTACTGTGGTCTCCTGTACCAATGCATTCAAGTGTACTTCCTATTTTCTCTTCTTTGAGGTTCAGTGTGGTTGGCTTTATGTTGAGGTCTTTGATTCATTTGGACTTGAGTTTTGTGTATGGCAATAGATAGGGATCTATTTTCATTCTTCTACGTGTTAATACACAGTATGCCAGCACCTTTTGTTAAATATGTTTTTTTTTTCATTTTACATTTTTTGCTCCTTTGTCAAAAATTAGATGTACATAGGTGTGTGAATTGATATCCGGGTCTTAAAATCGATTCCATAGGTCCTCCTATCTGTTTTTATGCCAATACCAAGCTGTTTTCAGTATTGTGCTTTTGTAGTAGGGTTTGAAGTCAGGGATTGTGATGCCTCCAGAAGTTCTTTTATTGTACAGGATTGTTTTGGCTATTCTGGGTTTTTGTTTTTCCATATAAATGTGTATTGTTCTTTCGAGGTCTGTGAAGAATTTTTCTGGGATTTTGATGGGCATTGCAATTAATCTGTAGATTGCTTTTGATAAGATTGCCATTTTTACTATGTTAATTCTACCCACCCAAGAGCATGGGAGATTTTTCCATTTTCTGGTGTCTTCTTCAATGCTGTCCTCTTCAATTTCTTCTTCAAAGATTTAAAATTCTTGTCATATAGGTCTTCCACTTGTTTGATTAGAGTTACTCCAAGATATTTTATGTTATTTGTGGCTATTGTGAAGGGTGATGTTCTCTGATTTCTTTCTCAGCCCATTTAGTATCTGTATAAAACAGGGATACTGATTTTCTTTTAGTTAATCTTGTATCCTGATATATTACTGAAGGTGTTTATGAGTTGTAGAAGTTCCTTGGTAGAATTTTTGGGGTCTCACTGAGTATTTTTGTATACATGTTCATGAATGGGATTGGTCTGTAATTCTCTTTCTTAGTAATTTTATGTGGTTTGAGTATCAGGGTAATTGAAGCCTTGTAAAAAGAGTTTGGCAATGTTCCTTCTATTTCTGTTGTGTGGAACAAATTGAGGAGTATTGGTATTAGTTCTTCTTTGTAGAATTCTGTGCTGAAACTATCTGGTCCTGTGCTTTTTTTGTTTATTCTTTTGTTTTGCTTTGTTTTTTGGTTGGGAGACTTTTGATGACTGTTTCTATTTCTTCAGCAGTTATAGGTCTGTTTAACTTGCTTGTCTAGTCTTGATTTAATTTTGGTAAGTGATATTTATCCAGAAAATTATCCACTTCTTTTAATTTTTCCAATTTTGTGGCATGCAGGTTTTCAAAGTATGACCTGATG